CCGGGGGGGGTGTGGCCCCCACTTGGCGGCATGGCCCCCAGTTGGGGATGTGGCCCCCAGTTGGTGTTGAGTCCCCCAGTTGGTGATGTGTCCCCCAGTTGGTGATGTGGCCCCCAGTTGGTGCCTTGTCCCCCAGTTGGTGCCTTGTCCCCCAGTTGGTGCCTTGTCCCCCAGTTGGTGCCTTGTCCCCCAGTTGGTGCCTTGTCCCCCAGTTGGTGCCTTGTCCCCCAGTTGGTGCCTTGTCCCCCAGTTGGTGCCTTGTCCCCCAGTTGGTGCCTTGTCCCCCAGTTGGTGCCTTGTCCCCCAGTTGGTGCCTTGTCCCCCAGTTGGTGCCTTGTCCCCCAGTTGGTGCCTTGTCCCCCAGTTGGTGCCTTGTCCCCCAGTTGGTGCCTTGTCCCCCAGTTGGTGCCTTGTCCCCCAGTTGGTGCCTTGTCCCCCAGTTGGTGCCTTGTCCCCCAGTTGGTGCCTTGTCCCCCAGTTGGTGCCTTGTCCCCCAGTTGGTGCCTTGTCCCCCAGTTGGTGCCTTGTCCCCCAGTTGGTGCCTTGTCCCCCAGTTGGTGCCTTGTCCCCCAGTTGGTGCCTTGTCCCCCAGTTGGTGCCTTGTCCCCCAGTTGGTGCCTTGTCCCCCAGTTGGTGCCTTGTCCCCCAGTTGGTGCCTTGTCCCCCAGTTGGTGCCTTGTCCCCCAGTTGGTGCCTTGTCCCCCAGTTGGTGCCTTGTCCCCCAGTTGGTGCCTTGTCCCCCAGTTGGTGCCTTGTCCCCCAGTTGGTGCCTTGTCCCCCAGTTGGTGCCTTGTCCCCCAGTTGGTGCCTTGTCCCCCAGTTGGTGCCTTGTCCCCCAGTTGGTGCCTTGTCCCCCAGTTGGTGCCTTGTCCCCCAGTTGGTGCCTTGTCCCCCAGTTGGTGCCTTGTCCCCCAGTTGGTGCCTTGTCCCCCAGTTGGTGCCTTGTCCCCCAGTTGGTGCCTTGTCCCCCAGTTGGTGCCTTGTCCCCCAGTTGGTGCCTTGTCCCCCAGTTGGTGCCTTGTCCCCCAGTTGGTGCCTTGTCCCCCAGTTGGTGCCTTGTCCCCCAGTTGGTGCCTTGTCCCCCAGTTGGTGCCTTGTCCCCCAGTTGGTGCCTTGTCCCCCAGTTGGTGCCTTGTCCCCCAGTTGGTGCCTTGTCCCCCAGTTGGTGCCTTGTCCCCCAGTTGGTGCCTTGTCCCCCAGTTGGTGCCTTGTCCCCCAGTTGGTGCCTTGTCCCCCAGTTGGTGCCTTGTCCCCCAGTTGGTGCCTTGTCCCCCAGTTGGTGCCTTGTCCCCCAGTTGGTGCCTTGTCCCCCAGTTGGTGCCTTGTCCCCCAGTTGGTGCCTTGTCCCCCAGTTGGTGCCTTGTCCCCCAGTTGGTGCCTTGTCCCCCAGTTGGTGCCTTGTCCCCCAGTTGGTGCCTTGTCCCCCAGTTGGTGCCTTGTCCCCCAGTTGGTGCCTTGTCCCCCAGTTGGTGCCTTGTCCCCCAGTTGGTGCCTTGTCCCCCAGTTGGTGCCTTGTCCCCCAGTTGGTGCCTTGTCCCCCAGTTGGTGCCTTGTCCCCCAGTTGGTGCCTTGTCCCCCAGTTGGTGCCTTGTCCCCCAGTTGGTGCCTTGTCCCCCAGTTGGTGCCATGGCCCCCAGTTGGTGATGAGTCCCCCAGTTGGTCATGTGTTCCACATTTGGTGCCGTGTCCCCCAGTTGGCGTCGTGTCCCCCAGTTGGCGCCGTGTCCCCCGGTTGGCGCCGTGTCCTGACTATACCCTGTGCCCCTTGGACTAGTAACGAGGACACCTCTGAACCCCAAACTGTTGTATGTCCTCCGATACCGGATCATTCTTTCTCCTGCAGACCACCGATACCCGGCCATTCTCTCTCACTGGCCAACAACACCGGGTGTGTCTATCTAGTGAGTGGGCACAGGTCCTATGTAACCATACCACTGCCACTACAAGGTGGCTATGCCCGCCATTCGCTCTATTTTTGCCGGGCACATGCACCCCTGGTGCAGGCTACAAGCAGCTGTGCCCACCACACATAGTGCAGTCCTAGTCTACAGTTGTCACCATCGGGAAGCCGGTCCAGAGCAATGATCTGAAGGTGCGGAAAAGGACGAAGACACGATTTGGTACAGGTAATCAGATGACGATTGTTTATTATATACACAGAGCTACATCAACGTCATCCAAGTGGATGTAACCCCCGAAAACCTCTCTGTGGTGAGGTTCCCGTTCTTCGGTCCCTGGGTCTGCTACCATTTGAGAACACCCTCCGGGTGGGATGTAATTGGCTAAAAAAACAACTCCCCTCATTTTCATTGTACAATGTCTGGCCGGAACGATTCACCCTCGCCTCCCTACGCGTGTACCTGCCATCAGTGACCGTGTGTCTTCTGATGCTGAACTAGACTATCTTTCCGAGTGTAACTCTTCCCGCACTGAGAGCATGAAAAGGGACGCTCGCCCGTGTGAGTCCTCAGGTGTGTAAGGAGGTGGCGCTGCTTTATGAAACCTTTCCCGCACACTTCGCAGGCGAACGGCTTCACGTCTCTGTGGCGTTTCATGTGGTCATTATAGCACTGCTTAATTGAGAAACATTTGCCGCACTCGGAACAAGCAAAGGGCTTCTCGCCGGTGTGGACTCTCTGGTGGGTAACGAGATCTTCCTTCCGCTTGAAAGATTTCTCACACTCCGAGCACAAATACCTCTTCTCTTCTGCTTGACCTTTTTGCTGTACGATAAGTTCAAATTTCGACTTCCTGCTCTCTGTAGCTGAAGCTGGACCTTCCCCCGTACACTTTCTCTGGTGTCTGAGAAGTTGCTGTTGTAATATGAAACCTTTCCCGCACTTTTCACAGGAAAACGGCTTCTCACCAGTGTGGCATTTCATATGGTAGTCGAGGCTTCCTTTCTCCGAGTAACGTTTATCACATTGAGAACACGAAAATGGCTTCTCACCGGTGTGGCGCCTCATGTGCTGATTGAGGCCTCCTTTCTGAGCGAAACGTTTCCCACACTCTGGACAGGAAAACGGCTTCTCGCCGGTGTGGACCTTCATATGGTCCTCGAGGATGTTTTTAGATGAGAAACATTTTTCACATACAGAACACGGAAAGGGCTTCTCCCCGGTGTGGACTCTCTGGTGATTAACAAGGTCCGCATTCCATAAGAAGCTTTTCCCGCACTCCGAGCACGGAAAGATCTTCTTTCCTTGGTGACCCCTCACATGCAGATGAAGTTCGTATTTGGTTGTAAACGTTTTTTCACACTCCGAGCACGACAATGAATTATCCTGGGCGTGAAGTTTCTTGTGGCGGCTGAGGCTGATGCTATACTTGAAGCGTTTTCCGCACTGCGCGCAGGAAAATGGCTGCCCTCTCGCGTGGGATTGCCGGTGTAGGTTTAGAACCCCTCTGGTTCTAAATTCCTTCCCACATTCGGAACACTTAAAAGGCAGTTCACCCGTGTGCAGCCTCTCGTGTTCGATCAGAAACTTTTTCCCTCGAAAACTCTCCCCGCAGACCGTACAGGGAAAAGGTTTCTCACCGGTGTGCAGTCGCTCGTGTTCGATGAGCCGCCTTTTCTCTCCAAAACCTTTCCCGCACACGGAACAGGAATACGGTTTCTCGCCGGTGTGCAGCCGCTCGTGTTCAACCAGCCGCTTTTTCTCTCCGAAGCTCTTCCCGCACACGGTACACAAAAAAGGCTTCTCGCCGGTGTGCACCCGCTCGTGTTCCACGAGCCGCCGCTTCTCTATGAAACCTTTCCCGCACACCGTACAGCAAAAAGGCCTCTCGCCGGTGTGAGTTTTTGCGTGGGTGAGAAGATCCAATTTCCTCGCATAGGATTTCCCGCAGTCCGAACATATGTAGGGCCGCTCTCCGGTGTGCACCATGAGATGTCTCACGAGTATGCCTTTCAGCCTGAAGCATTTATCACATTCGGGACACGGAAAGGTCTTCTCACCCCCCAAAGAACCTTGTTTGCTATTAGAGGGATCCACCGATCTGTTCCCATGGTTACGTTTGTGACGCGTATTTTCAATAACAGGGTTTACTGGAGGACATTGTGTGATGGTATTATCTTCTGAAGTACTATCTGAAGGTAAAGTGAGGTGACCCTCCGAGTCATTTGGCATATAGCGTCCGTCTGTTGGAGAAAAGCCCTTTATTAAAACTGAGGAACGTTCATGTTTCAGGTTCTACAGCCAGTCACGCATTATGGTCTACAAACCTAGAGTTCCGTAAATGTCCCTGAAGGAACTTTGTACAATAACACCAATGTAAGAAGAGACATCAGAGGACCAACTATGGGGACCATGAGGAATGGAGATGGACCTTCCATATGGTGTCCAGTATCTCCTCCTCATTTGTCGGCCACATGACGTTATATTGAGGAATGGAGATGGACCTTCCATCTGGTGGCCAGTATCTCCTCCTCATTTGTCGGCCACATGACGTTATATTGAGGAATGGAGATGGACCTTCCATCTGGTGGCCAGTATCTCCTCCTCATTTGTCGGCCACATGACGTTATATTGAGGAATGGAGATGGACCTTCCATCTGGTGGCCAGTATCTCCTCCTCATTTGTCGGCCACATGACGTTATATTGAGGAATGGAGATGGACCTTCCATCTGGTGGCCAGTATCTCCTCCTCATTTGTCGGCCACATGACGTTATATTGAGGAATGGAGATGGACCTTCCATCTGGTGGCCAGTATCTCCTCCTCATTTGTCGGCCACATGACGTTATATTGAGGAATGGAGATGGACCTTCCATCTGGTGGCCAGTATCTCCTCCTCATTTGTCGGCCACATGACGTTATATTGAGGAATGGAGATGGACCTTCCATCTGGTGGCCAGTATCTCCTCCTCATTTGTCGGCCACATGACGTTATATTGAGGAATGGAGATGGACCTTCCATCTGGTGGCCAGTATCTCCTCCTCATTTGTCGGCCACATGACGTTATATTGAGGAATGGAGATGGACCTTCCATCTGGTGGCCAGTATCTCCTCCTCATTTGTTGGGGACATGACGTTATATTGAGGAATGGAGATGGACCTTATAGTCCAGTCTCCTCCTAGTCATCTACCATGCCTAGTCTAACCCAGTTTCCTCTTACTGGTCTACCATGTAAATCCCAGTCTCCTCTCTTACAAGACACTGTGATAGTGTTTATTACGTACCTGTGCTGATACGTAGAGAGGATTCGTCCTTTTCCACCTTTATTTCTTTCACCTCCGTAGACGGCTGATCATCCCTCCCGAACTTCTCTTTTTTAAACGGAACGTTCATATCCATCTGCTCCTCACCCTAAAAGGAGAAGATGACAAAACATAAAATACCAAAAGAGCAAATAGCACTCTACACTTCTAGATACCAATCACCGACCTGATCCTGGTGAGGGACGGTGAGATCTTCCTGGGTGGGATCCCGGGAATACAGGGGGCGGGGACATCTCTCTGGTGGGTTCCTCTTACTGGATCCATCTGTAGGAAACACACACACTGACTGAATACATTGTTTCTATGTGTGTATCAGATGATGGGGGATGTAGGTGGAGCCTCCGTACTGCTCTCTCCTCTTACCCGGTGATGCGAGGCTCCCCACGCTCTTCTCCACGGCATGTCAATTTCAGTCTCCTCTCACTGGTCCACCATGTCAATTCCAGTCTCCTCTTACTGGTCCACCATGTCAATTCCAACCTCCTCTCACTGGTCCACTATGTCAATTCCAGTCTCCTCTTACCGGTCCACCATGTCAATTCCAGTCTCCTTTTACTGGTCCACCATGTCAATTCCAACCTCCTTTCACTGGTCCACCATGTCAATTCCAACCTCCTCTTACTGGTCCACCATGTCAATTCCAACCTCCTCTTACTGGTCCACCATGTCAATTCCAACCTCCTCTTACTGGTCCACCATGTTAAATTCCAGTCTCCTCTCACTGGTCCACCATGTCAATTCCAGTCTCCTCTTACTGGTCCACCATGTCAATTCCAGTCTCCTCTTACTGGTCCACCATGTACGTTCCAGTGTACTCTTACCAGTTTACCATTTATAGTCCACTCTCCTCTCTTACCGGACACTATGATGGTCTCCTGATTCTCCATCACCTCCCATCTGAACCTCAAAAAGAAGAACATTTGACCCGTTTCTGTGTTTATTACGTACCTGTGCCGATACGTAGAGAAGATTCCTCCTTTTCCACCTTCATTTCTCTCTCCTCCGTAGACGGCTGATCATCCCTCACAAATTCCTCTTTTTTAAACTGAACCTTCGTGTCCGCCTAAAAGTAAACGATGACAAAACGTGGAACACCAAAGAGCAAATCACACTGTACAGTTTATAGACAGCAATCACCTACCTGGTCATGGTGGGGGACGGTGAGATCTTCCTGGGTGGAATCCCGGGAATACAGGGGGCGGGGACATCTCTCTGGTGGGTTCCTCTTACTGGATCCATCTGTAGGAAACACACACACTGACTGAATACATTGTTTCTATGTGTGTATCAGATGATGGGGGATGTAGG